ATATTTACTGCAATTCTGAACAAAACCATGCTAAACAAGAATGAAAATTCATTTGTGAATAGAATTCATTTATCCTAGAAACAAAGTTATATATTGTAATCCTTTAGATTGCTCAGTTTTAATGCATGCTAAATTTATAGACTAGTTATTTCACAAGGAACCATTTCTCTATATCATATTTGACCTACATTATTGTTTCCTAACAAAATACACATTGAAAGACTTGTATGGGACCAATGCATGAACAGAATAAGTTTTTACAGTTTCAGTTAATGTCAAGGTGCAGCAAGCCTGAATACTAAGTAGGTGACTAAATGCTTAGTATACCTAGCCATATCTTGCAGAGTTATACTAATGCAACTCATATATTGAAGATGAACTCTTAAATTAAAGAGAGAAGGTGGTCCTGGTTTCTAATATGAATCCTGTTTTTCTGAGTTTCTGTTTCTCAATCACTGGCAACTCCTATATTATATGCTATATAAAAAAGCATTTTTAATATATCTTAAATTAGTGCAGAAGTATACTATCAATGTTTCTGCTACTGAAAGAAGATCTCTGGCACTAATTTTCTGATTCCTAGAACTGTTTTTCCCTCTAAAATGTGATATGCATCACTATGACAGTTTTAACGCCGGTTGGATTTGTTGTGACTTTTTTTTTTTTTTGATGCCACATAGTAAAGTAAACATCTCTCATTTGTTTAGTTCAAATAACCAAAGGAGTGACAAGACACAGCATAATGAAAAAGTCTGAGATTATTCTATAGAGTTATATTCTCCTTTTGAGTTGTCAAAATATATAACAAGCATTGCTAGTAAATACAGAAATTATCTTGACAGCTTTTGGATGTAGGATAGAAAGTAATTTGAAATATATATTCTAGGAAATCAAATCTAATTTTTCATCCATTGCTATTCAGCCTCTGTGCTCCATCAGTCCAGCTGAACTCTAGGGTCAAAATATGATTTTAAAAATGTAATTAATTATTGGACTCCTCTTTAGCACTACATAAAACTTAAAAGGAACTTTTTTATTATACTTCACTCTTAAAGATTTCCTTCCCACATAATTAACCCCTGAAGCTGTTTCCACAAAAAGGGACCTGTTAAAAAAAAGAAGAATACTGAGAATAAGTAAATCACCACAAGGATTCTATCAGTCAGATCAGGAACCCACAGCATTTTAAGCATAACCGCATTCATAATTATCACATTATGCATGAATCTTGCTGTAAACATCACCTCAACTCTGTTGAATGATTTTTTTTCAGCTATTAATTACTCACGAGATGTTCTGTGCTCTCTCAAAGGATATTCCTCTTCTACATAGGGTTGTTAGTAACTATCATTTTTCGTCAAGGTTTGATATTATGCAATTGCATCAAAAACATGTAGTTTGTTCTAAAAACTTCAATTTTTTATTACTGTATAATTTGTTGGGATGAGTCTGATTACAAAGGCTTAAAATAAGAATTGAACATGGTAGAATCACAGAATAATTTAGGTTATAGGTTAGGTTTAGATGGCTGGAGACAGCAATTATTTTCCCCCAGCCCCCAGGCCTTCTCTTCTCCATGCAGAACAAAGCCAGTTCCCTCAACATCTTCTCACCTATAATGTGCACCAACCTCCTAACCACCTCAATGGCCCTCCACTGCACTTAGCTGCAGTTTCTCAATGGCTTTCTCTTACCAGAGAGCCCAAATTGTGTGGTATCACAATGGCCAAATAGAGAATAACTGCTTCCCTTGACCTGCTGACTACACAGTTGCTGACACAGCACAGGAGGTGCTTAGTCTTCGCCATTACGAGGGCTCTCTGCTCACTGATGGTCATCTTGCTCTCTGCCAGGTACTGTACATTCTTTTCCGCAAAACTGCTCCCTAGTGAGGCAGTGCCCAACGTCTGCTGTTGCGTGTTTTTTCCATCTCAGACACAAGAGATTTTTACCTTTTAGAACTTAACATGGTTTCTGCTAGTCCATTTCTGAACAGCCACCCTGCCCTCCAGCATACTGACCACCCTGCCCAGTTTGGTAACATCCGTGAACTTTTCTGGGGGTGTGCCCCATCCTATCATTTGGGTCCCTAAAGAAGACACTAAAAAGTATCAGCCCCAGTACAGACTCCTGAAAAATGCTCCTAATAACCGACCGCTAGTTAGAAGTTCAATTGCTGACTGCTGCTCTTTGAACCCACCTATTCAACACAGCTGTGCTGAAGGCTTTGTTGAAAGTCCAGGTAAACAACACCCATCATCATCTCCTCATCCACACAGTCAGTCATCTCATCACAGAAGGCAACCAGGTTGGTCAGACATGATTTTCCCTTGGTGAATCTAAGTGGGTTGCTCCAAAACACTTTCTTGTTCTTTGTGTTCCTGGAAATGGCTTCCAGGAGGATTTCCCCCACGATCTTCCCAGGGACTGAAGTGTGGTGGAGCAGTTTGTAGTTCCCTGCGTTGTCGTCCTTGCCATTTCTCCAGGTGAGTATGACATGCCTTTTGCAGTCACCAGAGGCCTTCCCCAGTGATTATGAGTAGAGGGTCACAGATTTTATTCTTTAGGTTATCTACTATATTACTGCAATAAGTACACACTGTGGCTGAGGCCTCCAATAACATCTCCACACAAAAATATTTCTGCCTGTTTAGAACACCAGAAAACAAAACATAGTTTTTTTTTTTTTTTTTTTTTTTTTTTTTTTTACTGCATTGGTGCTATTATGATGTTGCTCAGTATTTGTGTTCCGTTTTGTTTGGACTATGCCACGGCTGATCTTAAAATAAAGCTGAAATATTGTGAAAATTTTCAGTAGACTTCAGTAGAAATTCCTATTTCAGTAGGATTTCTGAGGGAATAAGACAATTCTAAAACAACACTGGAAGGTCACAAAGCTTCTCCATAGAAACATATGTGCAAAGAATGAAAAATAGCTGAATTAGTTTAATCATGATTAAATTAGTATTTTCTAATTGGGATTACTTGGGTAGATAGGAAGGGGAAAAGGGGGCTCGTGGTACTATCTGCATTAAATCACTGGAAATAAAAGGCCAAATGAAAAGATGGTCACCAGGAGTTTTGATCCCATTCAAAAATGTACTTCTTGGAGAAAGTTTCCAAAACTATATTCCCTTTGGGGCAACTGTGCCTAAGTCTTTGGGTCAGAAAACCTGACTCAAATGCTGGCTTCTAATAAACTTCATAGCAAAGGTGACATTTTCATTGCTTGGCTTGTGAAACTATAAAGTATGCAGAAAAGGGATCAAAACTCCATCATAAACCTGCAGCATAGTACTGACGCCATTCTCATGGGAGTGCACAGGTTTGTAAACACCTTTTCTTCTCAAATCTTTCCATAAAGGAAGTCAAGAATCACAAAACAGACAGTGTACTCTTTATGGTGAAGTATCATATGCTATATTATGTAGCTAGTAGTACAAAATAAAATAAGACACAGCACTAGAAAGCATAACCACAGTGAAGCAAAGCTACTTTTCTTTGCTTGTACTTTTGTATCTGTTTAGTCATTAATTTATTTGCTTGGATTTTCATATTTGTGATATCCTGCTAATGTAGGTAATTATGCATCAGAACATGGGACAATCAGAGCCAGACCGTGTTTATCTCTCGCTCCATGGTGTCACCTTAGAGATATTAAACAGTTTTGCCAAATTATTTGCCAAAAGATGCATGTATTACATTATTAGCAATTTATTAGTAATTAGTAGTAATGTATGTGGTCAGTACTGCTGGCAACACCACAAAATAAGTTGTTTATGCTTCTGATTTAAGGGGTGCAAAATTTTATCAATTGTACTGCGAGCCCATAGAATTCAATCTCGTTTAAGAGGCAAAAAAAAAAAAACCCAAACAACCTGATGTGAGACTGATTTTACACCATGTGCTTTTTGAAAAAACAAGCTAATCAGGAACTCTGAATTACCCTCCAAAAAAGATTGCTTCCCCGGGGTTATATTCAAGCCTGTCATTATCACACTCCTGTGCATGTGTCCTGCTTCACTCCGATACCCACACCCCGTGGAAAAAAACGCCTTTTCGTGGCAAGACGTGCAGCATCACCTGCCCAGCTAGGCGCTGCCCGCTCCCTGCGCGGCGACAGCCCCCGGGACCAGGCGGGCGGTGAATGCTGAGCTCTCAGCCCCAGCACCACAAGCAGAGGCCGCCTGCAGCTGGGACTGCTCTCCCCCTCGCTGCCCTGCCATACCTCGCCCGGAGATGTGACTTCAGGTAATTGCCCAAACCTCTTCCCAGCTCCCGACTTTTTAAACCATCCTCTCCGCGGTTCGTGTTCCCTTATCTGTTGCTACCTAGATCGAGACGGGCACGCATTTAACTCTCAGGATCAAGCACAGAAGCGGCCCCGGCAGCCCCCCCCCCCGCACGGACCCGGGACCCCCAGACCCCCCGCCCCGCTTCCCCGCGGGAGCCCCTCCACGGCAGCCAGCCTGGCAGAGGTCAGTGCATCCTTCCTTCCCTTCCAAAGCGCTCGGCCCCGTCGGGAAAGGAGGGTGGTTTGGGTTTTTGGGGGGAGCATCCCAAAGGCGCCGCTTCCCCCCGAGGGTGGGAGGCCCGCCGGCAGCTTCGGCCGCCCACCCCGCCGCC